TTGACTCATCCCGTGGAGGTGGAGGTGGAGAACAGGGAGATAGAAGTCGTGGCATCTTTGCCGGTAACCTATCATGAGGTGATGGTGGAGAAGAGGCTCAATGATGTGACGGGATAGGTGATGGCTCTCGTTGTAGAGGTGTATAGTCGGGTCGATAAGGTGATGGCTCTGGGTGAGGTGATGGCTCTCGAAGTGAAGGAAGTGGAAGCTGCTCATCATTCGTGCCATCAAAAAAACGCTGACTAGCTTGCCACCAATCAGTGGCAAGCCCAGCCTCCGTGGGTGTCAGTCTCTGTAATGGAGTGTTGACCTCCTAAAAATATAAAAACTCAAACAAAGTTAAACGTCTACTATTAATAACTTGTTTATATATGATAGTATTTGTGTTAACTTACATTATTTATTGTCGCATATGATATTAAGTCTTCCCAATCCAACAGACGTTTCCTCTTCCAGGAAATAGCCCTAGGAATATCATTTGAAGTTTTTAATGCATATGTCCGCATGCTGGGGAAAGCCTCGAATATCCAAATCTACAAACAATATAATAACAAACATTAGTAATTGTTAAATAATTAATTATAATTTTGAAAACATTATATAGAAATTCTTATCTTAAAGGCCCAAATAAAGCCTGACAAAGTGTATTTCGACCCATCGCCACGCAAACTTTTACGGTCATCAAAGGCAGACGACAACTTAGTCCAGGTAGCTTTCCATATATACGAACCCCACGGAAACAGATTCCATGCATTTAGGTCCTCTACCAATAATATTAGCTCCTGAGGAATAGGTTGTCTGGCCTCTCTGCCTAAAAAGCAGGCATAAAAAAGTACTAGAAGGCATACTCGGACAACATCGACGTCATTCATCCGAGTAAAACCATCTTTCTTATTAAACAATTTCTTCAGGTCGTCGACGTGTAAGTTCGGCTTCTCTATTGACTCATCAGGAAAAACCCAGGATAACCATGATGGGCGGGTGATATGACGAGTGTACCGGCCTACATCATCGTGTCCGAATCATAGACCAGTGATTAAGCAGAACTCCTTCCGCCCAAAACAAGTATACGCCGGTGGAGAATGAAACCATATCTCTTCCTCACCACGTTGTATACTGTCGGGTAGATCGCTAGTCATGGTCTAAAGCCACAAATGGGTCAAATTAGCATCTCCACCCGGATGCTGTACTCTCAGCCATGGCCTGAAGCAGGTTTCCTCAAACAATTTTCTTTGTGCAGGTGAAAGCTTCGAAGCAATTGTAGTGGCTAGGCTAACTTTATTCCTTAATGTCAATGAAGCCGAAAAAAATTTCTACAAAAACAATAAACATACCAAGTTAGATATACCAAAAACTACACTGTGAAGATATACCAAAAACAATAAACATAAAGAGTAGTAGTTTATTCTTGAAACTAAAATTTGCAACACTGTTTTGTCTTTTGGTTGAAATGAAAATCTCAACGAGAGAATGACTATCGCAATGCGGAAATGACTATCACAACGAGAGAATCGCAACGCGAAATGAAAATCGCAACGAGAGAATCGCAATGTGAAATTAAAATCGCAACGAGAGAATCGCAACGCGAAATGAAAATCGCAATGCGATTTTGGTTTCGCGTTGCGATTATCTCGTTGCGATTTTCATTTCGCGTTGCGATTCTCTCGTTGCGATTTTCATTTCTCTCGTTGCGATAGTCATTTTCGTGTTGCGATTTTCATTTTCATGTTGCGATTTTAAGTTTAGAAACTATTCTTCTTCTGCAAATTGAAACTTTAATGGATTGCATTACTTCAACCAAAAGACAAAACAAAGACAAATACTAACTTCACAGGGTTAAAGACTAAACAATTTAGCAGTATTGGCAGCAATCGAATGAATTTAATAAGAAATCTAAGTGAAATAGTTAATCTATTATTGAAATTACCAGTAAACTTATCATCAATTTCAGTATGAAAAAACTTAAAATAATGCAAAAATTTCAAAATAAAAATAATTAAAAAAACTAACCCTCGGAGGTTGATTTTCCATTTCTAAATGATTGTGAGGGATTTCTGACCGTGAATGGTTGTGAGGGATTTCGCCGGAGATGGGGACGGAAATCTTCGAAGATGGGGATGGATTTCACCGTAGAGAATGAGAGATGGAGATGAGACTGAGTTGTGATTTTAGGTTTTAGGTTACGAGTTGCGATTACGGGATATACTGTGGACGGTTCAGTGTTCCTATAATTAATATTCGTGTTTGGAATTTGAAAATAAAATACGCGTAGCGATTCTAATGGCGCTTTAAAAATCGCGTTGCGATTTACGGATACGCGTTGCGATTTTACGTATTGTCGTTGCGATTTACGGATACGCATTGCGATTTACGTATTCTCGTTGCGATTTACAGATATGCGTTGCGATTTACGTATTGTCGTTGCGATTTACGGATACGCATTGCGATTTTACGTATTGTCGTTGCAATTTACGGATACGCGTTACGATTTTACGGATACTCGTTGCGATTTACGGATACGCGTTACGATTTTACGGATACTCGTTGCGATAGTCAGAATCGCGTTGCGATTTATATGTTCGCGTTGCGATTTTCATATTCGCGTTGCGATTCTGGAAAATCACAATGCGAATTTGTACTATCGCATTGAAATTCTTCATAATCGCGTTGCGATTCTGGGAACTGATTTGCGATTCTGGAGATCGCGTTGCGATTTTTATTTCGCATTGCGATTTTGTTGGTCATTTTGGCAAATCCAAAAAAAGTTAGTTAAAATCGTATATTATAAGGCATTTTTGGTCACTGAGGCGATTTTCTCTTATTTGTATTTAAAATTTTTGTTCAATTTACACGAATTAAAATACTTCGATGGTTAAAGAGATAATTGTTATTATTAAAGGTAATGTGTTTGAGCACTAACGACTACAAGGTATTTGAGTGTTCATTGTTAAATGGTTGAAAATCTATATAATAGAAACTACCACATATAATCACCCTAGATTAATAAAAAAAATTTGGTGAATTCACTTTTATTTAATTTTATCATTATTACTAACTTAGTACTTATAAAAAAGTAAAATAACTTTTTAATCATATGTATTTATACTTTTTTATCGATATAACCTTAAAAATTCTAAATATAGAGAATTAAAAAAATTATATTGTTAAATTAATATTTTTTTTATATTTCCAAATATTAATGGTCAAATTGATAGGGATTATAATGGTAAGGAATAAAAGAGTTATTTTTCCTTTACTTTACGGTTACCAGTAATTAACGTAAATCTGAAAAGTTTGAGCAGATTTTTTTTAAATAAACAATAGGGTAAATTCTATAAATAGTCTCCAAACGTTTAGCAAAATTTACATTTTGGTCATTAAATTTTTAAAACTTATAATACAATCATTGAACTTTTACTTCGTTTTTCATTATGGTTCTTTCCGTTACGTTCCGTTACTTGGATCTCACATGACAATTGCCTTCCGTCAACCTCCTCCTCCTTCTTCTTCTTCGATTTCCTACAACTGGAGTCCATTCAAAACTTTAATAAAAGAATCATCTTTGGGTCAACAGCAAAATGTCATATGATTGAACTCTAATCAGACTGTGAGTGCTTATTGATACTCCTAACCTACTCAAGTTCTTTTCCCGAATTTCGGACAACAATTTTGCTAACACAAGAAGGTAATTGATAATCGGATCTTCAAGGCACCCAATCAGTTATCACAAGATGATTTTCACTCCTTTATTCCTCCGTAGATCCAAAGGTTGTCCCTTTATTCTGATAAAAAAAAAACCAGAGTAAATAAATCCTCCAAACTCCCTTCTTTCCTCCAAACAAGGCGATGGTTGAAATGCGACGGAGCTCTTCCTCTTCCAAACGACCCCTTCTTCTCTCGCTACATCGCTTCCTATCCTTAGAAAACGATCCAAGGTCTTAACTTTGTTTTTTGTTTTCTGATAATCCATAAATTTTAATTCTTTAGCGCTTTCAATTTGCATGCGTGTTAAAACTTCTATTTTTTTTCATCTTCAAATTTGAATCTAGGACTGATTGTTTTTTCCCTTTAAGCATCTGAGCTGACATAAAGAGACCAGATGATTTTCAACAGAAGGCAAGAACGCCTCAAAGTAATTCCATCTGGCATTGCTATAATCCAAAATATTGGGGAGATAGATTATCATATATAGTAACAAGTACATGAAACAAGACGAAATGGATAATATTTTCATGACAACTTTCTTCCCCTGCTAATTTAAAATTGATCAGCTGCAATCACCCTTACAACTTTATCCAAAGTCTACACAAGGTCCAAGCAAGTCGATATCAAAAGGGAAGAAGAATATCCTAATGTTCTCTTAGGTACTTGTACATGACACTATTTCTAAATGAGATCTCACACTTGCTTCAAAAGAAAGAACCCCTAAAGTCATCGGCATATAAAGCATTCAAATTGTCCTTTCCGGTTTTTTCAATAAATATTTACATCTTGGACGTGTAAGAGAAGCCAAGCATAGAATGGAAGTTTGGGGAAGATATGGGTGTTCAATAAATGTTGTTTCTAAGTGAATAAGAAGAAGAAAAATGGAAGTTTGGGGAAGATACGGTTGTTTCTCAGGGAAGAAGAAGAAAAAGAGTTAATGCATAAGTAAAAACTAACAGAGGTAACGGAATAGACCTTATTGAAAATGAATTAAAAATTAGATGACTGTATTGTAAGTTTAAAAATTAGACTATCAAAATATAAGAACCTTAAATGGTCGGAGACTATTTATGTACTTTATCCTAAATATCAATAGATTAACTTGAAATCATAAAAAAAACTAATTTTAAAATTATAAAGTAATATTATAATCTTAACATATTTAAATCATAATTATTTTTGTTAAATTAAATTTTCTTTATATAACTTTTACACAAAATATTTTCTTTTCATTACAAAATCTAATTATATTCTAATTATTCACACACAAATTGTAAATAAATAAATAAGACCCCTCTCTCAGTATCTGGTTCTTTAAGAAAACCATAAAATCCCCCATTATTTCCTCCTCCTTTGGCTTTAGAACACCAAATCTAACCTGGGTATCTTTCATTCCCCATGTTTTCTTGAGGGTTAGAATCTTTTTCTCTTTCTGGGTTACCTTCAATTCTTGTTAAGGTTACAATTTCATCATCTGGGTACTCTTAGATCTCCCATTCAAAATTTGGGATCCTTCTATTTCCCCAAAATTTTCAATGTCACAAAACTTTTCGATTGAGCTTTACTTCGATCCAGCACTTGAAAACCAAGTCTTGAAAACTTGGAATATTTTGGCTCGTCGGCAAATCAGCACTCAGTTAATTGATATCGAGTCCAGGCCTCACATTACCCTTTTCTCAAGCCCTTTTCTCGACCCTGCGAGGCTCGAATCTGTTGTAAAGTCCTTTGTTTCAAAGCAAGAACCATTGGCTCTATCTTTCTCTTCCATTGGGACTTTCCCAAATGAAAAAAATGTTCTTTTTCTCGCACCAGCTCCAACAATGGCCCTCCTACAGTTCCAGGCTCAATTATGTGAGGCTATTAAAAAGGAAGGGATTGAAATTGGAGAAGAGTTCAAAGCTGACGCTTGGATTCCCTGTTGTGCTGTGGCTCAAGAAGTTCCAAAAACAAGAATGGCGGAGGCATTTTGTTTGTTGAGGGAGTTGAAGTTGCCTTTTTCTGGGTACGCAATGGATATTGGATTGGTGGAGTTTCCACCTGTTCGTGAGCATTTCTCATTTGGACTTGGAAATACATTAGAGGCGTGAGATCTTAAAGGGTCATTAATGGCAAACGTTATTTCTTGCTTCTCTTTTGGTTACAATTTCAGAAGTTGTTAATGTAGGTTTTATAATTGAAATATGAATGTTGGATTCTCAATTGCAACTTCGTTTCTTATGATTTTTCTTCTTCTCGTTGATAGTATGTTTTAGCATTAAATAATCAGATTCTCCATTGAATTGGGATAAGAAGGGATTGGCCCAAAATTGTTGTCCTATGTCCTCTATGTATAGGTGAATTGTGAATATTGTAAGGAATCCCATCAATGCACTGAGTTTTTAGGTGTTACTATTGCATAATCTCTTCTATGTTAGTCTCACTTCTGACATTGACGAGGAAATGTTTAATCATGATATGACTAGATTATGTACTGGATTTGGAAAAATTATATTTGGTTCATGGCTTTTATTGATGTGCTATCTTGGTTTAGATGTCTGAAAACATGTAGTTATATTCATATTTTCACCACCAAACTTATAATTTGGATTTTAGGAAGTGAATGCTGAAGTATGTTCTTTATTTTTACTAGGATCTTGATATGAGATTTTGTTTATGGACATCTATCCTTTTGACTGGAGTTTTTGGTCTTTGGGTTCTATATAAAACAAAAGATCATCTTAATTGGCTTTGGGTGCTTAAGAGTTTTCTTTTTTGATGTTTAACATTATGAATTGAGGATTTGACAGTGTCATCTACTGTTTGTGTCTTAGTTTAGAATTGTAACCATTAGTTCATACATGTTGGTGGTTCATTAGTCAAAGCCATCACTATGTCGTTTGTCAGCCATAGTGTCCATATTGATAAATACTTGTTTTTGGCTAAGCAAAGCAGATAAACCCGAGCCAAAGATAAATATTCTCTTATAAGATTTATTGCATGATTTTGTAATCTAGTCCTATCTTGATGGTAGACTGGTATGTCTAGTCGGCTACATACTCTTTGTGGGATCCTGAACCATGCACATCACGCCCAGCAGCTGCAGTGAACACACTTTTAATGGAAATGTATTCAAATAGCATGAATTGACTTGCAGAGTGATATGATTTGCTATAGAGAGATTGCCTGATTCTTAGATATTTTAGTTCCTTTCCTTCTTGAAAGTGTTCATAGGTTAGAGAATCAAGTCTTTCACATTTACTCCTAATCTGTCTTTCATAGCAAGATTTTGATAATATTCTGTTTATCTTTTTGCATTCCATGATTAGAAGGAAACTCATAATCAAGTGTTGTTCTTTCATCATTTCCCTTTAATGTTTTTTGTTAAATTGTTTATTTTTTGATGTCCCTTTATCGGGACCGTCTTGATCATCATTTCCAAGTTCCTTGCCTGTTTTGCCTTGTCTTTTACTTGGTTTATTGCCCCACACCATGTTTGCACACAAGTTGCCATTGTTTTTTTTGTCATTATTGCACTAATCATTTCCAGGTTCTAGTTGTTGGAGATTATAACAAGATATGCGGTTCGATTTTTCTTTCGTGTACAGAAGCCAGATGCTGGGACTCGAGTTCCAGACCCCTACTAAATGTCACCTTGAAAGGATGACTACATGAGCCAAGTGAAATAAGTTTCGAGTTCGTAGTTGACTGTGATACTCAGTTGGTCTATATTACAAATTTCATTTTTTTTTCTTTCTTATTATTGGTCTCAACACAATGGAGAAGCAGGGGAAAAAACTCTTGTAGTTTGGCATGTTTGCAAAATGCCACTTCAAGTAGGAGAAATTCCACGTTCGTTGGAAGTTGATAATTTCAATAGAGTTTGGATGTTGCTTCTGATTTCATTAATAGGCAAAATACAGTTAGCAACATTCTCTTCCTTTTAGCTGTCTCATTTGATTCATAATTTTAGAAGAGAGTGTATTCACCTTAGAGGTATTGAGTTTGAACAACTATGTTTGTAGGATGTGTAAGTTGTTAATGGTTAAGAAAGATTTTGAACATATATCATTATAATCATCTCAACTATTAAAAAAAGTTAAAAGTAATTTCCAACTTATCTGAAATTAAAATCTAAGTTGAAGTTGAGGATAAGAATCGGGGTTTTCTAATACAAAGAACCTTAAAAAACATCCTACTAAAAAATTCTTGAACACCCGTTGTGGTTTTAGTTAGGGACGAGCAAAACTTGTCGAAAAATTGATATTTTGTTACTTGAAAAAAATGATTCTGATTGATTTCGAGTTGTAATTTTATAAACTCGACTTGAATTTTGTTTTAAAATTTGAGTCAAGTTATAAAATAGAACTTAAATAACTAAATTTAATAATTAGTAGATTGATTTTCAAGTTTGAGTCTAGTCTTAAATTACAACGAAAAGTATATAATTAATTGATTGTATTGACAAGAAGAAAAAAATGAAGAAAATTATTAAGGTGTAAAATATATCATGTAGATGATCCCTATCTAAAAGCCCTTTCACTAAGAAACAAATGAAGCTTCTCTTATCAGAATTGCCATGAGAAAATCATTCCACACATCAATGGGACCTGGCATGCACCAATGAACAGTCATTATAACCCTTCATCCATTTATTTCCCCAGAACTCACCAGGGTGACCATCCGGTCTCATCATCATCGCCCTCATCACATCCAAAACCCAAACCTTTTCCCGAGCTTACCACCTTCTATCCCCACCTTTCCGATCTCTTCCATTTGCAGGCTCCTCAGTTCCCATTCAGGGCCGCTTGAGTTTATCTCCGATTCACTCAAAGGGACTGTCCTGTTACATCTTCCCCCTGTGTTCCATGCCCCATCCTCAAAATGTGCCGGTGAAAATGTCCGGACTAGGGCAATTGTTGATGTGCTTCAATGCTGATCGAAACGCCAACCTCAGGGAAAATTCAACGCCATAATCCGTCACATTCGAGGTATTGCAGTATACACATCCGACGACACTGGTACTATCGTGTAGGTAAATTGGTCCAAAGAACCTATGTGCATCGGAGATTATGACATAGTCGAGAACAGGGAGATTGTCTCCATGCTTCATCAATTTTGTCGAGGTATAAATCGAAAATGCCAGATGATGTATCATTGATCATTCTTTCTTCACCATGAACAAGGAATTTTGTCCAAAGGATGATGAGAGTGAAATCATGATTAGGAAAATACCATAACCGTTTCCTGTCTTCTGAATCTTTGTACTCATCTTTGGGAGTTTCAACCTTTAAAAGAATTGCACTGCTTAAAAAAACTTGAACTTTTTGGTACCGAACTCTAACTTCCAATGAACAAAGATCAAATCCCGATAATCTCGAATACCGAAAATGGTCATAGACTCCAACTGATAAATTAATCTTATAAATTTTAGAACAGAAACTCTTGAAATCTGTAAAAATGATTGTTCTTTACAAATCCAAGGAAGAAGAATGAAAACAATAAGTAATAAAACAATAATAAGGATTAATGTTATTAAACAAATGAAAACCCAAAAAACTTTGACATGCAAACAATCTAAACGTGTCTGTAGACACCCGTTTTTGTCCGGGTCTACAAAAATAATATTAATTATTATTATTATTATTATTATTATTATTATACAAATGTACATATTTTTTGCAGATCCCAAAATTAAACCCAAACAACTACAACAATTAACCAGCTGATCTATCACACGAGGCCCAATGCACATTCAAGCCCAGATAACAAGAACCAAGACAAGTTCCAGATACAACCCAACCTAGATGCAACCAGCACTCAACTTGACCCAGGATCTGGACTAGATCCAAACTCAACCCAGCACCCAGAGCTGACTCGAATCGGCCCACTTGACAACCCAACTAGGGTTTCCCCTCAAGCTCCAACGCCGCCTCACTCCTGGACATTGGATTTGGACCCATCCAACGATCCAGGTCACTCATAACCTATGGTTTCGAAACCCTAAAATATAAAGCCATCAGCTCAGTCGCCGCTTGATTCTTTAGCTCCCACTGACGCATGAGCCACTGCCGAGCCACCGAGCCGTCACCGAATGTCCTACCACTCAATGTTATCATCAACAGTGACCGATAGTTGCACCTAAATCATATCAACAGTGAAGAAATTGATAGCAAATTAAAAATAATAATAAGCAATACAAGATATCCCGAGGCATATTCAGGTGCCAGTCAAGCAAAAGATAGTGTATTCATACCCTATCCTCTCGGGAAAAAGAAAAATGAGAAGAGGGAACCATAAATCAAATGGGGGAACCAGTTCAAGGGGTTTTTTCCCAAAAAGAAAAAAACGGAGGCATTTGAGGGTTACAAAGGAGAAAAAATAGAAAAAGAGAAAAGAGTGAGGGAAAAAAAGGGGAAAGATACAGAGAAACAGGAGAGAAAATAAAGAAAAGGGGTTACCTTTGGGTGATTCCCCCCGCGCAGTCGTCGGAGCCGAAGAAACCCTTTTGTTTCTTCGTAGATCTACAACGTTTTGGGCTATTTTCAGGCCAATCGAGGCCAGATTCTTGCTCAGGGCCAAGAGATGCTTCAGATGGCGTCTTCTTCTCTCTCCTCTGATGTTAGCGTACGACAGTGGCTTCCGATCAGCGGCGATCGATACGGCAGTTGCTTGCCGATTTCTTAGAGCTCTTTGGAGCTCTCTCTCTCTCCCCTCTCTCTCTCTCTCCTTTTTCAGGCGATGAAAGTAGCAAATGATGGTTGATGATAATTTGGACGTGAATTTGGGCTTTTATATTTGACACCAAACGACATCGTTTCGAAGGGGACCAGCGCAACATTTTCTCTTATGGGTAAACCCTATTTAGGGTCATTCTGATTTTGTATCATTTTTTCAGTCAATAATTAAAGTTTTGTTTCTTTTTATTTTGAGCACTTGTTTTATGAATGTTGCAATTTGGTCCTTTTTAGCTTTTAAGCACATGTATGTATATATTTATTATGCGGTCATTGTACTTTAATGTTATTTATACTTAAGCAGGATATGATTTTATTATTTCATTTTTAGTCACTAATTTAATGTATTGTGTATTTTTGATATTATTCGAATTTGGCTATGATATTTGTAAATCTATCATTTTAGTAACTATTTTACATTTGGTTTAATTATGATTCGGCCTTCATGTCTCTGATTTATTGCATTTTAGTCCTAAACTTGTTTTTTGGGTTATTTTCATTTCTAGTGTCTGAATTTTTTTAAAATGTAGATTAGGGCTCTGATTTGTTTTAATGGTTGTTTAGGCCCTTTAAATTTCTGTTATTCTATTTTGGACCTTTTTAATTTTTTTCTATTTAGGTCCCTCCAGTTTCTGTTAATACCAGTTTAGTCCTTTAAATTTCCACGTATGTTTATATGGTTATTTATATTTGGATGTGTAATAATTTATTTTTTTTGTTTTAGTCCCTTATGTATGTATATATATTTCACATTTTATGTATTTTTATGTACAACATTAAATGAATAGTTTTTTTATATTGTAAATATTTTATTTTTATTTTTATTTTTAAAATTATATTTATTCCCATCTTATTCCCTTATTTAGTGATATGGTATTAGAATGTTTTTCAAGAACACCAATTTGTAGAATGAGTGTGGAAAGCTTCACTTGGTCGAAGTGATGCGATCTGATACAACATTTTAACAAAATGTGAACTTGAAATCAATCAACTTTATTTTGTTAATTAATTCATTTCGTATTTTAAATTGAACAACACCTTACATGTTTCTCTAAATAACAATTTATTTTATTTCAAGCAAATGTTGATTGTCAATTTATATTCGATTCACAATTTTTTAATAACCTAGGAGGAATATTTTTTACGAATGAGAAATAGTTGAAATGGATTTCTCGACGGAAGATAGAAAATTTCAAGATTTCTTATCGAGTTAAAGGATTTTCTTTAAGTTATTAATTCGAACCAAATTATTCAATATTCAATTAATGAATCATAATTTAACTTTATATTCGATTCATAATTTCCAATATTATGACAACGTGTAGCGATTGATTACCAATTTTGGGCGTTATGGAGGTGCTTACCCTTCCCCACACGCAACCAACTCCCAGACCCATTACGTCAAATCTTTGTAAATGCAAACCAGTTTTTCGTCTAAAAATGATTTTTCTAAAAATTGTTTTAAAAGACGTTTTTGGGTATTTAACCTACCTAACCCAAAGGTCAATGGCGACTCTCTTTCCATTTTATTCAAACCAATCCAAAACTGACCAATTTTTCCAAATTAAAGTCATACAAATTGTTCTTAAAATAATATTTAATAGTGTTTTTTAAAAAATGGTTATGACAGCTTGACGACTCTGCTGGAGATATTTTTTTGGAGAGTCAGGTTGTAGATTGCTTACACATTGTCGTTTGGTGGAAACTATGAGTTCGTGTCTTTAGTTAACTTATGATCTGTTTATTGAAGTTTTTAATTGCTTCATTTTTAAATTTTCATATTAACATTTGAATTTTTTCTTTCATCTCTATCTAAGTTTTTGTCGAGTTTTTTTCTTTTCTTTTCTTTTCAATTTTTTTGAGTCAAAGGTAGGCACGTTCCTCCTCACACACATCATGCACATTTGCATAACATAAGCTCTAGACACGAGCTTCGATCCAAATAAGTCGGGGTGAATGCTTTAATCTCGTAAGAATTTATTCTTCATATGAGTTTTAGCAAATAACCCATGGGATACATACCTTATACATTCGTAGGGATTTATTCCTCGTATGGGTATAAGGCAGTAAATCCCCTCGAATTGAACTTTTTCCATTCAAAACATGTAATGGGTGAGGATCGAGGGTTTGGTAGCCCAAGGGGGCACTGACATCAAGGACAATTCGAGTACCATTTTCCTGTTAGAGCCGAAACAATGAATATAGTGAACCA